AATGTTCTAAAGCTGGAGCTTCTTGTGAGGGTTCTGATCTGCGTGTGTTGGTGTGTGATAAACAATGGTCTGGAGCTGGAGCTTGTCGTGAAGGTTCTGATCTGTGAGTGTTGGTTTGTGATACACAATGGTCTGGAGCTGGAGCTTGTCGTGAAGGTTCTGATCTGTGTGTGGGTTTGTGATACACAATGTTCTAAAGCTGGAGCTTGTTGTGAGGGTTCTGATCTGTGTGTGTTGGTTTGTGATACACAATGATCTGGAGCTGGATGTTCTTGTGAAGCTTCTGATCTGTGTGTGTGTAAGTGTGTGATACACAATGGTCTGGAGCTGGAGGTTGTTGTGAAGGTTCTGATCTGTGTGTGGTTTGTGATACACAATGTTTTAAAGCTGAAGCTTCATGTGAAGGTTCTGATCTGTGTGTGTTGGTTTGTGATGCACAATGGTCTGGAGCTGGAGCTTGTCGTGAAGGTTCTGATCTCTGTGTGTGGGTTTGTGATACACAATGTTCTAAAGCTGGAGCTTCTTGTGAGGGTTCTGATCTGCGTGTGTTGGTGTGTGATGCACAATGGTCTGGAGCTGGAGCTTGTCTTGAAGGTTCTGATCTGTGTGTGTTGGTTTGTGATATACAATGGTCTGGAGCTGGAGCTTGTCGTGAATGTTCTGATCTGTGTGTTGGTTTGTGATAAACAATGTTCTAAAGCTGGAGCTTCTTGTGAGGGTTCTGATCTGTGTGTGTTGGTTTGTGATATACAATGGTCTGGAGCTGGAGCTTGTCGTGAAAGTTCTGATCTGTGTGTTAGTTTGTGATACACAATGTTCTAAAGCTGGAGCTTCCTGTGAAGGTTCTGATCTGTGTGTTGGTTTGTGATACACAATGTTCTAAAGCTGGAGCTTCCTGTGAGGGTTCTGATCTCTGTGTGTTGGTTTGTGATACACAATGGTCTGGAGCTGGAGCTTGTTGTGATGGTTCTGATCTGTGTGTGGTTTATGATACACAATGTTTTAAAGATGAAGCTTCATGTGAAGGTTCTGATCTGTGTGTGTTGGTGTGTGATATACAATGGTTTGAAGATGGAGGTTCTTGTGAAGGTTCTGATCTCTGTGTGTTGGTTTGTGATACACAATGGTCTGGAGCTGGAGCTTGTTGTGAAGGTTCTGATCTGTGTGTGTTGGTTTGTGATACACAATGGTCTGGAGCTGGAGCTGGTTGTCAAGGTTCTGATCTGTGTGTGCTGGTTTGTGATATACAATGGTCAGAAGCTAGAAGTTCTTGTGAAGGTTCTGACCTGTGTGTGTTGGTGTGTGATGCACAATGGTCTGAAGCTGGAGCTTCTTGTGAAGGTTCTGATATATGTGTGTTGGTTTGTGATGCACAATGATCTGGAGCTGGAGGTTCTTGTGAAGGTTCTGATATGTGTGTGTTGGTTTGTGATGCACAATGGTTTGGAGCTGGAGGTTCTTGTGAAGGTTCTGATATGTGTGTGTTGGTTTGTGATACACAATGGTCTGAAGCTGGAGCTTCTTGTGAGGGTTCTGATCTGTGTGTGTTGGTTTGTGATGCACAATGGTCTGGAGCTGGAGCTTGTCGTGAAGGTTCTGATCTGTGTGGGGGTTTGTGATACACAATGTTTTAAAGCTGGAGCTTCTTGTGAGGGTTCTGATCTGCGTGTGTTGGTGTGTGATGCACAATGGTCTGGAGCTGGAGCTTGTCGTGAAGGTTCTGATCTGTGTGTGTTGGTTTGTGATATACAATGGTCTGGAGCTGGAGCTTGTTGTGAATGTTCTGATCTGTGTGTTGGTTTGTGATACACAATGTTCTAAAGCTGGAGCTTCTTGTGAGGGTTCTGATCTCTGTGTGTTGGTTTGTGATACACAATGGTCTGGAGCTGGAGCTTGTTGTGATGGTTCTGATCTGTGTGTGGTTTATGATACACAATGTTTTAAAGATGAAGCTTCATGTGAAGGTTCTGATCTGTGTGTGTTGGTGTGTGATATACAATGGTTTGAAGATGGAGGTTCTTGTGAAGGTTCTGATCTCTGTGTGTTGGTTTGTGATACACAATGGTCTGGAGCTGGAGCTTGTTGTGAAGGTTCTGATCTGTGTGTGTTGGTTTGTGATACACAATGGTCTGGAGCTGGAGCTGGTTGTCAAGGTTCTGATCTGTGTGTGCTGGTTTGTGATATACAATGGTCAGAAGCTAGAAGTTCTTGTGAAGGTTCTGACCTGTGTGTGTTGGTGTGTGATGCACAATGGTCTGAAGCTGGAGCTTCTTGTGAAGGTTCTGATATATGTGTGTTGGTTTGTGATGCACAATGATCTGGAGCTGGAGGTTCTTGTGAAGGTTCTGATATGTGTGTGTTGGTTTGTGATGCACAATGGTTTGGAGCTGGAGGTTCTTGTGAGGGTTCTGATATGTGTGTGTTGGTTTGTGATACACAATGGTCTGAAGCTGGAGGTTCTTGTGAGGGTTCTGATATGTGTGTGTTGGTTTGTGATACACAATGGTCTGAAGCTGGAGCTTCTTGTGAGGGTTCTGACCTGTGTGTGTTGGTTTGTGATACACAATGATCTGGTGCTGGATGTTCTTGTGAAGCTTCTGATCTGTGTGTGTGTTAGTGTGTGATACACAATGGTCTGGAGCTGGAGCTTCTTGTGAAGGTTCTGATCTGTGTGTGGTTTGTGATACACAATGTTTTAAAGCTGAAGCTTCATGTGAAGGTTCTGATCTGTGTGTGGGTTTGTGATACACAATGTTCTAAAGCTGGAGCTTCTTGTGAGGGTTCTGATCTGCGTGTGTTGGTGTGTGATGCACAATGGTCTGGAGCTGGAGCTTGTCGTGAAGGTTCTGATCTGTGTGTTGGTGTGTGATACACAATGGTCTGGAGCTGGAGCTTGTTGTCAAATGTTATGATCTGTGTGTGCTGGTTTGTGATATACAATGGTCTGGAGATGTAGCCTGTTGTGAAGGTTCTGTTCTCTGTGTGTTGGTTTGTGATACACAATTGTCTGGAGCTGGTGCTCGTTGTGAAGGTTCTGATCTGTGTGTGTTGGTTTGGGATATACAATGGTCTGAAGCTGGAGCTTGTTGTGAAGCTTCTGATATGTGTGTTGGTGTGTGATAAACAATTGTCTGGAGCTGGAGCTTGTTGTCGTCTTTTTGTCCCAGGACATCGAGAATGGATAGCTGGTTACTGGTTTGTTCTTCCACAGTGAACTGGATACATGGGTTTGGGGATTTCAGGTGGTTCATTGGGGTTTGTTGTTGTTTTGCGAAACCAGCAAAGGGGTGTTTTGGAAGACGTTTCCATGGCTGTTTCTTCTAGGTGATGAAGAGTGAAAGTAGGGATCCCGTGGAGAGGCCGTGGGTTTGATATCTCTCCAGGGTAACTATGTGGAACTGATACAATAGTGTATCAGTCAGATAATGCTCCTGGTTGTTTAGCGACTTTCAGGGGATGGATGCATTACATGAGTGGTGTCAATGACTTCATCTTGAGCTAAGCTAGTAAACAGATCGACCACATCAAAGTTGAATAAAGAGCCTGGTTGAGCCATGGATCTTTTTCCAGAATTATGTTGAGTCCAAGACATTAAGAATTTGGCTGTTCTTCCAAAGGGAGACAGGAGACGTGCTAGGTACTTGGCGGAGACAGGGGGCGTGCTAGGTACTTGGCGGAGACAGGGGGCGTGCTAGGTAGTGGGCTGTGTTGTAGTGTCCCTGATACAGACTAGGAAACGAGCTTTGACAGGATCTTTGTGAATGTTTATGGCCCCACTTGCCCAAGATAACCTTCTGGTGGGTTGATGAGCTATTTGGGGATTGTATGGCCGTATCCATTGTTGTGAAGGAGGGTGTGAAGTGAGTGAGTTTAGTTTTACGCTGCACTCAGCAATATTCCAGCTATATGGTGGTGGTCTGTAAATAGAGTCTGGACCAGACAATCCAGTGATCAACAGCATGAGCATCGATCTGCGCTATTGGGAACCGATCACCACCCGATCCTGTTAGTCACCTTTTACGACTAGCATAGTTGCCTTTTATGACAAGAATGGGTTGCTGAAGACCTATTCTACCCCGGATCTTCACGGGTGAGGGTGTGAAGTAAGATCTTATGTTCTTTCTGAAGATTGTTGGTGGGGCCTGTCTTGAACTTGTCATTGGTGCCAGATTATTGAGGATGTCATTAGTTAAAGTGTTAACAGTAACCTCGCCCTTGTCTGCTGGAGCGATGTTGATGGTGTCTGGACCTCAGATAGCTGACAGTTTGCTCGGGTTCGACTTCTCAATGTCTCAATGAATTAGTAATACATGAAATTTCCATGAAACTAAATTACATAATTATAACAATGAAAAATGTAGTCACATGAATGTCGGAATGCCTTAAACTGCAATGAATGGTTTAACAACATGCATGTATGTGTATTCAGTGTGTGAACTAAGCCCAAAAAAACAACCAGACATCAATGCTGGTAAGTCCAAATTGGGCTGGCTAGCTGTAGATTTAGAAAATGGACTTGTAAAAGCCCTACATATTAATGACAAAAAGTTGTATACCCATAGAACTCTCCCCGTTGTGAGTTTGTTGATGGTTGCCGAGTCTGTTGATGGTTTCATTTATTGGCTTGTCCAAGTGTGTTCATTAAACCATGAAACCGTTGCTGTGGTAAAGTATGGTTGAAGATGTGGGCATTTCTTGAAATACAAATGTCAGGAGCAAGTCAAACCGAGTCAGAGAAGTTGCATTATACAGTTATCTGATGAACTCAACCTGGAGTTTCAAAGAACAGACCAAACATTCCTCTCTTCAATGACGAAATACCAAGTATGTTTATATTTCTCATGGTGAGATAGGACATATTTACAACCAGTGTCGAACATTCAGTGATAATTTTGGTTTCCTCATAATGGAGATCTAAGAGTGTTGTTGCTAACATGGCAGATGTGAGAATGTGAGTTGCCTCCCTTTGACCAATTTATCAATGGAGAACACAAAATCCATCAGTATAAAACCCTTTTTATTATAATAAATATGAATGTACTCCAATGATGTTTTAAACATTTGAAGCATGTGAATGTACACATACAGAGAAATCATCTAAGAAATCATAATTCGAACACAACACATCATGAACAGTTATACCACAGTGTCCTCATAACACAGTTATACCACAGTGTCCTCATAACACAGTTATACCACAGTCTCCTCATAACACATTTATACCACAGTGTCCTCATCACACAGTTATACCACAGTGTCTTCATCACACAGTTATACCACAGTGTCCTCGTCACACAGTTATACCAGTATCCTCGTCACACAGTTATACCATGGTGTCCTCATCACACAGTTATACCACAGTGTCCTCATCACACAGTTATACCACAGTGTTATCATCACACATTTATACCACAGTGTCCTAATCACACATTTATACCAGTGTCCTCGTCACACAGTTATACCACAGTGTTATCATCACACATTTATACCACAGTGTCCTCATCACACAGTTATACCACAGTGTCCTCATCACACATTTATACCACAGTGTCCTCGTCACACAGTTATACCACAGTGTTATCATCACACATTTATACCAGTGTCCTAATCACACAGTTATACCACAGTGTTATCATTACACATTTATACCACAGTGTCCTCATCACAGAGTAATACCAAAGTGTTATCATCACACATTTATACCACAGTGTCCTTATCACACATTTATACCACAGTGTCCTCGTCAGACATTATACCAGTGTCCTCGTCACACAGTTATACCATGGTGTCCTCATCACACAGTTATACCACAATGTCCTCATCACACAGTTATACCACAGTGTCCTCACCACACAGTTATACCAGGGTGTCCTCATTACACAGTTATACCACAATGTCCTCATCACACAGTTATACCACAATGTCCTCATCACACAGTTATACCACAGTGTCCTCGTCACACATTTATACCAGTGTCCTCATCACACATTTATACCAGTGTCTTCGTCACACAGTTATACCACGGTGTCCTCATTACACAGTTATACCACGGTGTCCTCATCACACAGTTATACCACGGTGTCCTCATCACACAGTTATACCACGGTGTCCTCATCACACAGTTATACCACAGTGTCCTCATCACACATTTATACCACAGTGTCCTTGTCACACATTTATACCAGTGTCCTCGTCACACAGTTATACCACGGTGTCCTCATCACACAGTTATACCACGGTGTCCTCATCACACAGTTATACCACAGTGTCCTCATCACACAGTTATACCACAGTGTCCTCTTCACACAGTTATACCACAATGTCCTCCTCACACAGTTATACCACAGTGTCCTCATCACACAGTTATACCACACCCATGCACTCTTATGACACTTCTAGATACGTACAACAGTCTGCAGCACACTAGGGAACTACACACAAACACACAGAACAACACCTCATGTTCCGTCACAAACATCTAGTAAGCAGTGTGTTTAAAGTCTTACAGAAATGAATAGAAAACATGAATAGTTGTTTTATCATTCTAAAACTTAACAAAATAAATAATACAAATCAACAAGTTGTGCAGTAGACATATAATGCAACCATTAAATCAGGTGACATATACTGAGGCCAGTATACGTATGATTCATGTAGTGGTGTTGTGACTATAAAAGACGCACAAACTCGTACTATTGCTCCTTGAAGTTGATGACACACATGACTCTCTGACTGTAGACACCAATCACTGTGACTCTCTGACTGTAGACACCAATCACTGTGGCCAATAGCAGTTCCACAACCTTCATTGCCATCTACTATTCTCACAACCCTCCATCTTGATAGAGACCACACTCACGGCCAACATATATGTAGTGCTAACAACCCTCCATCTTGATAGAGACCACACTCACGGCCAACATATATGTAGTGCTAACAACCCTCCATCTTAATAGAGACCACACTCACGGCCAACATATATCTAGTGCTAACAACCCTCTCTCATACTTGAGGCCACACTCACGGCCAACATATATGTAGCGCTAACAAACCTCTCTCATAATTGAGACCACACTCACGGCCAACATATATGTAGCACTAACAACCCTCTCTCATAATTGAGACCACACTCACGGCCAACATATATGTAGCACTAACAACCCTGCATCTTAATAGAGACCACACTCACGGCCAACATATATGTAGTGCTAACAACCCTCTCTCATAATTGAGACCACACTCACGGCCAACATATATCTAGTGCTAACAACCCTCTCTCATAATTGAGACAACACTCACGGCCAACATATATGTAGCGCTAACAACCCTCTCTCATAATTGAGACCACACTCACGGCCAACATATATGTAGCGCTAACAACCCTCTCTCATAATTGAGACCACACTCACGGCCAACATATATGTAGCACTAACAACCCTCTCTCATAATTGAGACCACACTCACGGCCAACATATATGTAGCGCTAACAACCCTCTCTCATAATTGAGACCACACTCATGGCCAACATATATGTAGCACTAACAACCCTCTCTCATAATTGAGACCACACTCACGGCCAACATATATGTAGCACTAACAACCCTCTCTCATAATTGAGACCACACTCACGGCCAACATATATGTAGCGCTAACAACCCTCTCTCATAATTGAGACCACACTCACGGCCAACATATATGTAGCGCTAACAACCCTCCATCTTAATAGAGACCAGACTCCCAGCTAACATGTTCCTGACCCTGATGTGCTGAGAGGGTTACAGTGTTCGGTATCTCCTCTCTCACAATGCTCTACCCATAATGCACTGTGGAGGATCATACTGTTGCCTCATCATTGTTGCCGAGGTATATGCCGCGCTCACAACTCTATCCATGACGCACTGCAGTGGATCATATTGTTGGCTCTGGTGAAGTCATCATTGTTGCCGAGGTATATGCCGCTCTCACAACTCTACCCATGATGCACTGCGGTGGATCATATTGTTGACTCCCTGGCAGAGTCATCATTATCGCCAACATATACACCGCTCTCACAACTCTCTAACCATGATGCACTGCGGTGGATCTCCTTCTCCTGATCATGTGGGTCATCTGACATCCCGGTCATTGTGTTGCTGAACTGATAAATCCTTGCTCGGGGCAGATGCCCCGACACAATGAGGTAGTCCTTCACAGTCCTGGCTGTCACCTGGCACACGATTCGTGCACACAGTAACACAATCACAATATATGCAGTCATAAACACGAGGTGGCGTGACATTTCCAGAAGGGGAGACAATTCTGTTATAACCAATGTCTTTAACTTTTGGATGTCCAAGTCTGGAAGGCAAGCACAGAGAAAGTCTTTAACAATCCCACATTGATATCAAACTTAAAGGCCAGTTTGAAAAACTGTTTGGGATGAAGGATGATGACCTTCTCTGGCAGAGTGGTTTGTTGTCTTTGAGGGGCAGTTTGGGGAAGTTGGGAGTACAATATTGAACAAACTTATGGGCAAACACTTCTTTTATTTTGTAAGTGCAACATTTTGATACTGATTCTTGTACCGTTGCCAAGCACAATGCAACTATGACAAGATTTCCTGCTTGAAAAAAGGTACAAGAATCTGTATCGAAACATCGCATATTTACCTGTGGATGTGTTGACTTCAGTTTAAGTGATGTGATGTTATATTTTATATTTACCTGTGTATGTGTTGACTTCAGCCTTAGTGATGGGATGTTATACTTTATATTTACCTGTGTATGTGTTGACTTCAGCCTTAGTGATGGGATGTTTTACTTTATATTTACCTGTGTATGTGTTGACTTCAGCCTTAGTGATGGCTTGTTATATTTTATATTTACCTGTGTATGTGTTGACTTCAGCCTTAGTGATGGGATGTTTTACTTTATATTTACCTGTGTATGTGTTGACTTCAGCCTTAGTGATGGCTTGTTATATTTTATATTTACCTGTGTATGTGTTGACTTCAGCCTTAGTGATGGGATGTTATACTTTATATTTACCTGTGTATGTGTTGACTTCAGCCTTAGTGATGTGATGTTATACTTTATATTTACCTGTGTATGTGTTGACTTCAGCCTTAGTGATGGCTTGTTATATTTTATATTTACCTGTGTATGTGTTGACTTGAGCCTTAGTGATGGCTTGTTATATTTTATATTTACCTGTGTATGTGTTGACTTCAGTCTTAGTGATGGCTTGTTATATTTTATATTTACCTGTGTATGTGTTGACTTCAGCCTTAGTGATGGCTTGTTATATTTTATATTTACCTGTGTATGTGTTGACTTCAGCCTTAGTGATGGGATGTTATATTTAATATTTACCTGTGTATGTGTTGACTTCAGCCTTAGTGATGGCTTGTTATATTTTATATTTACCTGTGTATGTGTTGACTTCAGCCTTAGTGATGGGATGTTATACTTTATATTTACCTGTGTATGTGTTGACTTCAGCCTTAGTGATGGCTTGTGCTATTATATATTCACCTGTGTATGTGTTGACTTCAGTCTTAGTGATGTGATGTTATATTTTATATTTACCTGTGTATGTGTTGACTTCAGCCTTAGTGATGGGATGTTATATTTTATATTTACCTGTGTATGTGTTGACTTCAGATTTAGTGATGGGATGTTATATTTTATATTTACCTGTGTATGTGTTGACTTCAGCCTTAGTGATGGGATGTTATACTTTATATTTACCTGTGTATGTGTTGACTTCAGTCTTAGTGATGGGATGTTATATTTTATATTTACCTGTGTATGTGTTGACTTCAGCCTTAGTGATGGGATGTTATATTTTATATTTACCTGTGTATGTGTTGACTTCAGCCTTAGTGATGTGATGTTATACTTTATATTTACCTGTGTATGTGTTGACTTCAGCCTTAGTGATGGGATGTTATACTTTATATTTACCTGTGTATGTGTTGACTTCAGCCTTAGTGATGGGATGTTATATTTTATATTTACCTGTGTATGTGTTGACTTCAGATTTAGTGATGGGATGTTATATTTTATATTTACCTGTGTATGTGTTGACTTCAGCCTTAGTGATGGGATGTTATACTTTATATTTACCTGTGTATGTGTTGACTTCAGTCTTAGTGATGGGATGTTATATTTTATATTTACCTGTGTATGTGTTGACTTCAGGCTTAGTGATGGGATGTTATATTTTATATTTACCTGTATATGTGTTGACCCTCAGAGGCAGGAAATTGCAGGATGACAGCGGATGTTGATGCGGGGTTTGGAGGAAGGTGAGGTTGCAGGTAACAGCATTCGAACTGCTGCATAAGTTGGATAACATCGACATCAGAACAGACATCTGCAACACAGTCGTATAATTTCTGTAAAAGGACCAGTGGTAGACACCCGAACAGACAACTGTAACCATCACATAATATCTGTAAAAAACAATGATCTTCATTAGAACACACAGCTGTAACCATCACATAATTTCTGTAAAAAACAATGATCTTCATTTCAACAGACAACTGTAACCATCACATAATTTCTGTAAATATCAATGATCTTCATTTCAACAGACAACTGTAACCATCACATAATTTCTGTAAAAAACAATGATCTTCATTAGAACAGACAACTGTAACCATCGCATAATTTCTGAAAAAACAATGATCTTCATTAGAACAGACAACAGTAACCATAACATAATATCTGTAAAAAAACAATGATCTTCAATAGAACAGACAACTGTAACCATCACATAATTTATGTAAAACACAATGATCCTCATTAGAACAGACAACTGTAACCATCACATAATTTATGTAAAACACAATGATCCTCATTAGAAGAGACAACTGTAACCATCGCATAATTTCTGAAAAAACAATGATCTTCATTAGAACAGACAACAGTAACCATAACATAATATCTGTAAAAAAACAATGATCTTCATTAGAACAGACAACTGTAACCATCACAAAATTTCTGTAAAAAAACAATGATCTTCATTAGAACAGACAACTGCAACCATCACAAAATTTCTGTAAAACACAATGATCTTCATTAGAACAGACAACTGTAACCATCACATAATTTGTGTAAACACAATGATCTTCATTAGAACAGACAGCTGTTACCCTCACAAAAATTCTGTAAAACACAATGATCTTCATTAGAACAGACAACTGTAAACATCACCTAATTTATGTAAAACACAATGATCTTCATTAGAACAGACAACTGCAACCATCTCAAAATTTCTGTAAAACACAATGATCTTCATTAGAACAGACAACTGTAACCATCACATAATATCTGTAAAACACAATGATCTTCATTAGAACAGACAGCTGTAACCATCACAAAATTTCTGTAAAACACAATGATCTTCATTAGAAGAGACAACTGTAACCATCACATAATTTCTGTAAAAAACAATGATCTTCATTAGAACAGACAACTGGAATGGTCACATCTCTGTTCGTTCCTGGTTAATGGATGTCACCAACCTGAGTCTCCCACGTTATGGAACAGCAACATGTTGGTTGTCTCGACATCGTGGTCCACCGACACTTTTAGCTCCTGCAGAATGGAGTTCATCACATCAGCTACTGTGGAAACGTGACTATTGACAGTCTCAGCCTGCCACTCCAGCTCAGATATGAGGAGATCTGAGCCAACCAGCGAGTGGAAGTTGTCGGCGCACAGCCAGGAGTCCACGATGTACATGATGCTGCACATGAAGATGATGATGGCTGCGGTGTACAGGAACCGCCACAGCAACTTGGACATGAGGGCACGGTGAAGCCAACACATACATGACAAGATGTCCTGCACCATCCATATATCCTCAAGTTTCTCTCGAGAAGTCTTTGGCTTTGTTGCTAACTTTTGTGCCCAAATGTCTCGTAGAATATCCTCCTTTGAACGTGGATATGACTGACAGAAGTACACATTCAGTTCATTGTCCTGGTTCACATTGTCATTGTGTGACAGAACATATGGATGTTCCAGAGCATCAAACTGTCGGGGGGGATTCTGACCTGTCTTTGTTTCCAGGACCTTCCTGGCTGCCTCATCCTGGGGGGATGAGCTCTTCACATCCTTGGTTGGCCTCCTGAACTTGCGTGTACAACCAAGCAAGACGGAACACCCACAGGAATATGTCCATCAGTAGAAACAGAGCTATAGAAATGTACAACATAGAGTTCAGCTTCATGTCTATTGCATCCACACTGCTGGTTGTGTTCCTGTTCTTGCCATCAACAGTGCGTCCCTCGTCTGGAGACTCCCCAGTCCTCTTCATCACTACATACTTGTAGGCCTGTAGGCTGCTGTTGCTGAAGTGGATGGAGGGCACTCTGTTTGCCTGAACGGAGTTGATATTGGTAGCAACCAAAGACTGGAAAGATGGAACAAGTGATTCTAATCTGAAAGAAAAATATTGATATGTTTAATTCTCAAAATTTCAATACAATTTGAACAAACACTTGTGTAATGGCCATAACCAGGTATAGTCTGGTCTGTGGTTTCAGTCTTCATAAAAACAGTGCAAGAAGAGATTGGGGAGACTTTGAGAGGTCCAACATATAGAAAACAGAGAACATGCAAAACAGGACATGAACAGTCCCAACATGAACTAAACACATTCAAACTTTTATTGTGGTTGTAAACAGTTTCTTTTATATAACTGATCAGGGAGATGTTATCATTAGGATAACGAATTGCCATGTCATTTCAGCCAGATGAACATCTTACACACACGAATATATCTACCTGTTGGCAAGTGTCTCCTGAACATGCAGCAAGGCATCAGCTTTGTCCATCTGCAACCAGGCCATAAACTTCTCCAGGTGAGACGCCGACATGGGTGTTCCATCTTCCCCACTCTTTGTCTGCCCCAGGAACATGTCTCTCGGGAAGTCCAGCCAGCCGTTCCTGGAGACTTCTTCCAGCTCACTGTAGTATTTCTCAGTCAACCGATGAAAGTGCTTCTGAACACTGTTATTACATTCTTTTATAAACATTTGTAATTTTTCTATATGCCTTTCAGCATTTACTTGAGCAACATTGTCAGACAAATACTGAAGGGATCCGTTCTGGACGTAGATCACCTGCAGCTGGTTGTTCAGCAGACTGACCTGCTGACTCAGCACATCAGCGTTCTCCTTGTTCAAGTGTTCCATGCATGCATCTTTTCGCTGCCGGAACAACTTCTTTAAATAATTAATTTCTGTCTTTTCAAAGTCTTTAAGGTCATTTATTGACAGGCTGACTTCCTGATGAAGCTTCTCTGTCAAGTTGGACACTCTCGTGAAATTTGATAACACTGTGAGATGGGAGAAGTAAAGAATTCCAAAAGCCACAGAAAATGTGAACACAATGGAATATGTGATGTAGAGGAGGATGAAGGCGAACACGATGGTTCTTGAGGCAACAGCCTTGGACGAGGAAGTGCTGTAGATCTTGTCTGGGACTTTCACAGCATCAGCATTGTTCAACAGCACTGACTCCGTCTTGACCAACTCCTCTGCTGAATGTCTTGTTGTAAGGTGGACAGAAACATACACAACAAATACCACCAGCACTGTGACGAGTGACAGCGTGACTGTCACAATGACTGGGAGCCAGATGGAGGAGATGGATGGGTCTGCCGATGATTGACTGGTCTGATGGAGGTCAAGTGTTGCCATGGAGATGGGTTGTGGAAGGACCATGGAGGAGAGGACAACACGGTGTGATGTGACCGAGTCATTGAGGAGCACCATGAAGATGTCGGGTAGCTCTGGCTGGGAACTTGACACATTGAACTGGACATAGAACTGGGGTCGGTCAGTGATGAGGACGTCAAAGTAGCCGATACACCGAGTCATCATCTTGTCAAATATCTGAACTCCAATCACACCCGGGTACCCAGTCAAGGAACCTGAAATTTCATCATAGAACCTGAATTACTATTGTATCAAGCTAGTAAGCTAGATAAATTCTCACCGGACCAGATAACTGTGATGTGTCAGCCATGGAAACACCATGCATCAGTACTAGAAGTCATCAGGGAAACAACATAAGTAGCTTTTTGACTTTCAGACACAAAACCACTTCAAGAAGAAAATAAACGATATCAAAATTAAGTCCAGCAATCCATAGAAACCTAAATTTAAATCCAGCCAAAATAACCAACTTATGAACTTTGAATATTTGAGGAAGACAATGGAAACCCCTGACTACCTGTGATGTTGATAGCCCAGGCTTGTTGCTGTGGTGACCAGGTGATGGCAGTTCGAAGGGCAGAGGGCACCAGGACAGAGCCGGTTAGCTGGGACTGGAAGCTGGATAGAACCGACTGACTCTCTGCAGAAACAATGTTAGGTTCATTTTTATATGTGCTACTGACACTCATTTGACAAGAAGTAGCATCCTTCTGCATGTTGTTTGAAAGCAGATAAAAACAAGTGTTTGCCACTGATATGGCAATGTCCCCCGCCACTAAAGAATGGAATATCTATATTTACTACTTTTTATTTTTTGGTCACGTACAAGATGCCTGAAATGACTGGTGTCTGCATAATTACCTTATGTAGGCTGTCAACATACTTGAAAACATTGAGTGCAATGTTTTATGAGATATTGCCTTTAAAAAGCGGTCAAAGTATCGTGGTGACCTTGAAATAAGGTCAAGATCACCCAAATAAACTGGTGTCTGTGTAATACCCCAATGTAAACTGTCACCAAATTTGAAGACATTGGGTACAACAGTCCATGAGATATCGCGTTAACAAGAGTTAAAAGTGTGAAAAGTGTCGTGGTGACCTTGAAAATAAGGTCAAGGTCACCCAAAGCGACTGACATCTGCGTAATCCCCCAATGTAGGGTGTCACCAAATTTGAAGACATTGGGTACAACAGTTCATCAGATATCGCGTTACCAGGAGTTTGAAAAGTGGTCAAAGTGACCTTGAAATAAGGTCAAGGTCACCCAAATAAACTGATGTCTGTGTAATACCCCTTTGTAAACTGTCACCAAATTTGAAGACATTGGGTACAACAGTCCATGAGATATCGTCACCAACATTGGTTAACAAGAATTGGATCTTGGTCCGGACGGGCGAAACGTAGGACAAGCATGTAGCTGAATGCATAGTCCCGTTCCAAATAGTCTGATGAGGGAGAGAGTGGTCAGTGTGATATACATCTGGTAGTAACTCTAGACACATACACGGTGGACTGGACTGACTCTTAACAAATAGTCTGATGAGGGAGAGAGTGGTCTGAGTAACTCTAGATACATCTGGTAGTAACTCTAGACACAGACATGGTGGACTTACTGTTAACAAATAGTCTGATGAGGGGAGAGCGGTCAGTGCGATACATCTGGTAGTAACTCTAGACACAGACATGGTGGACTTACTGTTAACAAATAGTCTGATGAGGGGAGAGCGGTCAGTGCGATACATCTGGTAGTAACTCTAGACACAGACACGGTGGACTTACTGTTAACAAATAGTCTGATGAGGGGAGAGCGGTCAGTGTGATACATCTGGTAGTAACTCTAGACACAGACATGGTGGACTTACTGTTAACAAATAGTCTGATGAGGGGAGAGCGGTCAGTGCGATACATCTGGTAGTAACTCTAGACACAGACACGGTGGACTTACTGTTAACAAATAGTCTGATGAGGGGAGAGCGGTCAGTGCGATACATCTGGTAGTAACTCTAGACACAGACACGGTGGACTTACTGTTAACAAATAGCCTGATGAGGGGAGAGCAGTCAGTGCGATACATCTGGTAGTAACTCTAGACACAGACACGGACTTACTGTTAACAAATAGTCTGATGAGGGGAGAGCGGTCAGTGCGATACATCTGGTAGTAACTCTAGACACAGACACGGTGGACTTACTGTTAACAAATAGTCTGATGAGGGGAGAGCGGTCAGTGCGATACATCTGGTAGTAACTCTAGACACGACACGTGGACTTACTGTTAACAAATAGTCTGATGAGGGGAGAGCCGGTCAGTGCGATACATCTGGTAGTAACTCTAGACACAGACACGGTGGACTTACTGTTAACAAATAGTCTGATGAGGGGAGAGCAGTGCGATCATCTGGTAGTAGCGATACATCTGGTGTTAGTAACTCTAGACTGACAGACACGGTGGACTTACTGTTAACAAATAGTCTGATGAGGGAGAGCGGCCAGCGGTCAGTGCGATACATCTGGTAGTAACTCTAGACACTGATGAGGGAGAGCAGTCAGCGCGACATCTGGTAGTAACTCTAGACACAGACACGGTGGACTTACTGTTAACAAATAGTCTGATGAGGGAGAGCGGTCAGTGCGATACATCTGGTAGTAACTCTAGACACAGACACGGTGGACTTACTGTTAACAAATAGTCTGATGAGGGAGAGCGGTCAGTGCGATACATCTGGTAGTAACTCTAGACACACTCTAGACACAGACACGGTGGACTTACTGTTAACAAATAGTCTGATGAGGGGAGAGCGGTCAGTCGCGATACATCTGGTAGTAACTCTAGACACAGACACGGTGGACTTACTGTTAACAAATAGTCTGATGAGGGAGAGCGGTCAGTGCGCGATACATCTGGTAGTAACTCTAGACACAGACACGGTGGACTTACTGTTAACAAATAGTCTGATGAGGGGAGAGCGGTCAGTGCGATACATCTGGTAGTAACTCTAGACACAGACACGGTGGACTTACTGTTAACAAATAGTCTGATGAGGGGAGAGCGGTCAGTGCGATACATCTGGTAGTAACTCTAGACACAGACACGGTGGACTTACTGTTAACAAATAGTCTGATGAGGGGAGAGCGGTCAGTGCGATACATCTGGTAGTAACTCTAGACACAGACACGGGACTTACTGTTAACAAATAGTCTGATGAGGGGAGAGCGGTCAGTGCGATACATCTGGTAGTAACTCTAGACACAGACACGGTGGACTTACTGTTAACAAATAGTCTGATGAGAGGAGAGCGGTCAGTGCGATACATCTGGTAGTGTATCTCCTCCTTCTCCTTCAGGATCTTGGCTGCGACACGGACTGAGCTGGACTTGTACAGAGTCTGGTTGGGATGGACACGAGACAGATTCTTCTCACAGCCTCCGTTCATCCAGGTGACAGAACTATAGCGGAATGGTACATCAAACTGAATGTAGGTGTACATCTGGGTGCCGAAATCCTTCTTGGAGCTGTGGGGGCGGCTTGCGAAGTCACCTGGGGACTTGAGGGGATGCAGCGACAGCTCCCCCATCTCCTTTACTATGTGTTTGTGGTTGGCGATCACGATCATCTCGTCCTCGAAGTCAAACCAGGTGTCGTGCTGCACGTTGAGGAAATCAAGGTTTGTGGACATCTGCCGATGGGAAAGCAGGGTGTCTACTGTGATGGTGAAGTTGCGCTGCTCGATGTGGTAGTTGAGGGAGGGGATCCGCACTTGGTAGTTGATGTTGTACAGGATGGTTGGTTTCTTGTACCTCACGTGACACATGTACCGCTTGTACATCTTCTCAAACACCGGGGACAAGGTGAACATGTACACCTCACCTGAAACAGATTACAACACAGCTTTTACTTCACAGCTAATGACTCACATACAAAAGCCTCACAAATATATCATAAACAAAAGTGAGTCCTTTGTTCTCAGTACACTCCACATGGCCGGGAGACTGGACTCTCTCCCAGGAACAGGAGACTGGACTCTCTCCCTGGGAACAGGAGACTGGACTCTCTCCCAGGAACAGGAGACTGGACTCTCTCCCGGGGAACAGGAGACTGGACTCTCTCCCAGGGAACAGGAGACTGGACTCTCTCCCGGGAACAGGAGACTGGACTCTCTCCCGGGGAACAGGAGACTGGACTCTCTCCCAGGGAACAGGAGACTGGACTCTCTCCCGGGAACAGGAGACTGGACTCTCTCCTGGGAACAGCAGTCTGGACTCTCTCCTGGGAACAGAAGACTGGACTCTCTCCCAAGAACAGCTGATGATCAGTAATGTGTGAACAGACTGAGTACCAAGATCTATGCTTCCCCTGGCATCAGCTAGTCTCACCTGTTGTTCCAAGGAAGCCCACTATGAACACTCTCCCCTCATCAGGCTCATTGCATTATAAATTCACCATTTGAATTTGATAATGACAAATGATCAAACTTACCCTTGGCACACTCGACACCAGCTAGAGGACATGAAGAACTGAAAGCCTGGTTGCATGTTGGCATCTTGTAACATTCAATGTTGCAGCACTCCGGCACACTCGTAGCATTACCTGAAACAGAAGCACACTTTGTACACACGGTCATCCACCTCACACTGAGGCAAGTGGAACCACACTTTGTACACACGGTCATCCACCTCAAACTGAGGCAAGTGGAACCACACTTTGTACCCACTGTCATCCACCTCACACTGAGGCAAATGGAATCACACTTTGTACCAACTGTCATCCATCTCACACTGAGGCAAATGGAATCACACTTTGTACCAACTGTCATCCACCTCACACTGAGGAAAGTGGAACCACACTTTGTACACACGGTCATCCACCTCACACTGAGGCAAGTGGAACCACACTTTGTACACACGGTCATCCACCTCACACTGAGGCAAATGGAATCACACTTTGTACCAACTGTCATCCACCTCACACTGAGGAAAGTGGAACCACACTTTGTACACATGGTCATCCACCTCACACTGAGGCAAATGGAATCACACTTTGTACCAACTGTCATCCATCTCACACTGAGGAAAGTGGAATCACACTTTGTACACACGGTCATCCACCTCACACTGAGGCAAGTGGAACCACACTTTGTACACACTGTCATCCACCTCACACTGAGGCAAGTAGAACCACACTTTGTACACATGGTCATCCACCTCACACTGAGGCAAGTGGAACCACACTTTGTACCCACGGTCATCAGCCTCACACTGAGGCAAATGGAACCTAACTTCGTACACACGGTCATCCACCTCACACTGAGGCAAGTGGAACCACACTTTGTACACACAGTCATCCATAACACACTGATGCAAATGGAACCACACTTTGTACACACAGTCATCCACCTCACACTGAGGCAAGTGGAACCACACTTTGTACACACGGTCATCCACCTCATACTGAGGCAAATGGAACACACTTTGTACACACGGTCATCCACCTCACACTGAAGCAAATGGAACAACACTTTGTACACGGTCATCCACCTTACACTGAGGCAAGTGGAACCACACTTTGTACACACAGTCATCCATAACACACTGACGCAAATGGAACCACACTTTGTACACACGGTCATCCACCTCACACTGAGGCAAGTGGAACCACACTTTGTACACACTGTCATCCACCTCACACTGAGGCAAATGGAACCACACTTTGTACACACGGTCATCTACCTCACACTGAAGCAAGTGGAACCACACTTTGTACACACTGCCATTCACCTCACACTGAGGCAAGTGGAACCACACTTTGTACACACGGTCATCCACCTCACACTGAGGCAAGTGGAACCACACTTTGTACACACTGTCATCCACCTCACACTGAGGCAAATGGAATCACACTTTGTACACACAGTCATCCATCTCACACTGAGGCAAATGGAACCACACTTTGTACAAGCGGTCATCCACCTCACACTGAGGCAAGTGGAACCACACTTTGTACACACTGCCATCCACCTCACACTGAGGCAAGTGGAACCACACTTTGTACACACGGTCATCCACCTCACACTGAGGCAAATGGAATCACACTTTGTACACACAGTCATCCATCTCACACTGAGGCAAATGGAACCACACTTTGTACACGCGGTCATCCACCTCACACTGAGGCAAGTGGAACCACACTTTGTACACACTGCCATCCACCTCACACTGAGGCAAGTGGAACCACACTTTGTACCCACGGTCATCCACCTCACACTGAGGCAAGTGGAACCACACTTTGTACACACGGTCATCCTCCTCACACTGAGGCAAGTGGAACCACACTTTGTACCCACGGTCATCGACCTTACACTGAGGCAAGTGGAACCACACTTTGTACACACGGTTACCTACCTCACACTGAGGCAAGTTGAACCACACTTTGTTCACACGGTCTTCCACCTCACACTCAGGCAAGTGAAACCACACTTTGTACACACGGTTATTTACCTTACACTGAGGCAATTGGAACCACACTTTGTACACACGGTTATCTACCTCACACTGAGGCAAATTGAACCACACTTTGTACACACGGTTATCTACCTCACACTGAGGCAAGTGGAACCACACTTGTACACACGGTTATCTACCTCACACTGAGGCAAGTGGAACCACACTTTGTACACACGGTTATCTACCTCACACTGAGGCAAGTGGAACCACACTTTGTACACACAGTCATCTACCTCACGCTGCAGATACCCCTTAAGCTTACCACTTTTGATACAGGAATCTCTCTGTAAACACTTCTGACACTCTTCTTGATTGAACTTGCAGTCTTCTGACGGGAATCTCATGGGCTCCTTGGCTGGGTTTGGCATCCCGAAGATGAGAGACAGTGGTGTGTTGTCAGTGCAGACAACACTGTTGTGCGTGTCACGGAGCTCCGTCAGATTCTGCCGCCGATTGATCTGTAGGATGATGATAGGTTGTAAAATACTGTGATCTGTATGTAACCTTGATGTGAAGTCACTTCGATGTGATCTGTGTGTCATGTTGATGTGATCTGTATGTCATGTTGATGTGATCTGTATGTCATGTTGATATGATCTGTATGTCATTTTGATGTGATCTGTATGTCACGTTGAAGTGATCTGTATGTCATGTTGATGTGATCTGTATGTCACATTGATGTGATTTGTATGTCATGTCAATGTGATCTGTATGTCATGTTGATGTGATCTGTATGTCACAATGTGATCTGTATGTCAATTGATGTGATCTGTATGTCACGTTGATGTGATCTGTATGTCATGTTGATGTGATTAGTATGTCACTGTAGGGATATCACATGTGCTGTAGGGATATCATGTCACTCTAGGGATATCATGTCACTCTAGGGATATCATGTCTAATGTGTTACCCAAATCTGATTTGTCATTCACCTCATACTTGTGGCAGGGCAGGTTGATGTAGCGACGGAGGTGAGGCTGACCATCCTTGTATCCAGGAGGACAGCGGATGGAGTGGTCCTTGGATGAACATGTCACCGACTTGGCAGCTGTGATACGGTGCCGGAATATGTGAAGGTACAGGCTGTAGAAGTCTGGCATTGGGTCTCTGAAACAATCATTGGGGGTGCTCAAGTCTAGGTCATTCTGAAACAATCATTAGGGGAGGTCATGTCTAGCTCATTCTGAAGCAATCATGGGACCTTAAATCTAGCTCATTCTGAAACAATCATGGGACCTCAAGTCTAGGTCATTCTGAAACAATCATTAGGGGAGCTCAAGTCTAGCTCATTCTGAAGCAATCATGGGACCTCAAGTCTAGGTCATTCTGAAACAATCATTAGGGGAGCTCAAGTCTAGCTCATTCTGAAGCAATCATGGGACCTCAAGTCTAGGTCATTCTGAAACAATCATTAGGGGAGCTCAAGTCTAGCTCATTCTGAAACAGTCATTAGGGGAGCTCAAGTCTAGCTCATTCTGATACAATTATTAGGAGAGCTCAAGTCTAGCTCATACTGAAACAGTCATCTGGGGATCTCAAGTCTAGCTCATTCTGAAACAATCACTGGGGAGGTCATGTCTAGGTCATTCTGAAACAATCAATGGGGAGCTCACGTCTAGCTCATTCTGAAACAATCACTGGGGAAGCTCACGTCTACCTTGCTGTGACTGCAGCAACTCAGTTAAATTGCTTGTTGTGTTTTGGGGAGAGGGACTGTATGCTAAAACTAAAACGCTGGATGTACTCTTGCTCACCGACAATAATTATTTTCTGTTTCCTGGAACTTCTCCTTCAGAGTAGATGAGATGTTTTTGTTCATGTGAAAGTAGGCGTTGTCATCAACGTGGTCAATGTCCACATACTCGGGGACCAAGTACACATCCGAGATGCCGATCTTGATCTTCAATCCCGAGGTGCGCCTCCACACGTAGTCCATGCTCTGCTGATTGTTGGTCACATACATGGGCGTCTCCAGCTCCTCCATGTCACGCAGTCGCTCCATGAACACATTCGATGACGAGGTCACGTTGATTAAAGTTCCGTCTGTAAAACAGTCATATTTATACCATAGTTTCCGATGAGGTCATGTTGACCGAAGCTCCTCACCTGTAAAAGGGACATCATCAAACAAGTGTGAACACTGAGCAAAGTTACAGCTGTAGAACATTTACAGGAGATGTTTGGAGGTGTGTTCTACTGAATATAGAGCATTACACACATGTGTCTACTACTCACCATCCTGCAGCTGTGTGTAGTTCATGGGAAGAATGCCAACAGGAAATGCCACTTCTGAAAAAGACAACAGCATATCTGACTAACCAACACAGATGGTGTCCTGTGTCGGGCAGGTGTTGTGAAGATGTACTCACCAACACAGATGGTGTCCTGTGACGGGCAGGTGTTGGGAAAGATGTGCTAACCAACGCAGATGGTGTCCTGTGTCATAGGGTGGGCAGGTGTTGGGAAAGATGTACTCACCAACACAGATGGTGTCCTGTGTCATAGGGTGGGCAGGTGTAGGGAAAGATGTACTCACCAACACAGATGGTGTCCTGTGTCATAGGGTGGGCAGGTGTAGGGAAAGATGTACTCACCAACACAGATGGTGTCCTGTGTCATAGGGTGGGCAGGTGTAGGGAAAGATGTACTCACCAACACAGATGGTGTCCTGTGTCATAGGGTGGGCAGGTGTAGGGAAAGATGTACTCACCAACACAGATGGTGTCCGTGTCATAGGGTGGGCAGGAGTAAGGAAAGATGTACTCACCAACACAGATGGTGTCCTGTGTCATAGGGTGGGCAGGTGTTGGGAAAGATGTACTCACCAACACAGATGGTGTCCTGTGTCATAGGGTGGGCAGGTGTAGGGAAAGATGTACTCACCAACAAAGATGATGTCCTGTGTCATAGGGTGGGCAGGTGTAGGGAAAGATGTACTCACCAACACAGATGGTGTCCTGTGTCATAGGGTGGGCAGGAGTAAGGAAAGATGTACTCACCAACACAGATGGTGTCCTGTGTCATAGGGTGGGCAGGTGTAGGGAAAGATGTACTCACCAACACAGATGGTGTCCTGTGTCATAGGGTGGGCAGGTGTAGGGAAAGATGTACTCACCAACACAGATGGTGTCCTGTGTCATAGGGTGGGCAGGTGTAGGGAAAGATGTACTCACCAACACAGATGGTGTCCTGTGTCATAGGGTGGGCAGGTGTAGGGAAAGATGTACTCACCAACACAGATGGTGTCCTGTGTCATAGGGTGGGCAGGTGTAGGGAAAGATGTACTCACCAACACAGATGGTGTCCTGTGTCATAGGGTGGGCAGGTGTAGGCAAAGATGTACTCACCAACACAGATGGTGTCCTGTGTCATGGTACAAGGTGCAGCTTCATATGTAGATCCCCGGCAGACACTACACCCTGGAACACAAACAGTTCAAGTCCCATCAGTCTCTGGCAATGTGAATACAGTGTTAATACCCAGGAATGTAATCCCTTTCTCCTCTTATAATTTGAAGCTGTGAAAGTTTATCGCTTAATTCTTGTTGCAATGGATGGATGATGACATACGAGAAAGATGGAAAGACTTACTCTTACAGTCGACATCTCGTGAAGCAGAGCAAACACCAGTCATGTAGTGGCCTGCTGGGCAGGAGGTGCTGCAGGCTGAAGCACAAAACTATTAAGTTATAACTGACATACACAGGTGTCTCGTAATGACTGACTTACACAGGTGTCTTGTAATGATTGACTTACATGGGGGTCTTGTAATAATTGACTTACACATGTGTCTTGTAATGACTGACATACACAGGTGTCTTGTAATGACTAACTTACACGAGTGTATTGTAATGACTGACTTACACGGGTGTCTTGAAATACTTGACTAACACAGGTGTCTTGTAATGATTGACTTACACGGGTGACTTGTAAAGACTGACTTACACAGGTGTCTTGTAATGACTGACTTACACAAGTGTCTTGTAATGACTGACTTACACAAGTGTCTTGTAATGACTGACTTACACGGGTGTCTTGTAATGATTGACTTACACGGGTGCTTTGTAATGACTGACTTACACAGGTGTCTTGTAATGATTGACTTAAACAGGTGTCTTGTAATGACTGACTTACACGAGTGTCTTGTAATGACTGACTTACACGGGTGTCTTGTAATGACTGACATACACAGGTGTCTTGTAATGACTGACTTACACGGGTGTCTTGTAATGACTGACTTACACAGGTGTCTTGTAATGATTGACTTACACGGGTGTCTTGTAATGACTGACTTACACAGGTGTCTTGTAATGATTGACTTACATGGGTGTCTTGTAATGACTGACTTACACGGGTGTCTTGTAATGATTGACTTACACAGGTGTCTTGTAATGACTGACTTACACGGGTGTCTTGTAATGACTGACTTACACAAGTGTCTTGTAATGACTGACTTACACAAGTGTCTTGTAATGACTGACTTACGCAAGTGTCTTGTAATGACTGACTTACACGGGTGACTTGTAATGACTGACTTACACAGGTGTCTTGTAATGACTGACTTACACGTGTTACTTGTAAAGACTGACTGACACAGGTGTCTTGTAATGACTGACTTACACAAGTGTCTTGTAATGACTGACTAACACAAGTGTCTTGTAATGACTGACTTACACAGGTGTCTGTAATGACTGACTTACAAATGTGTCTTGTAATGATTGATATGGAAAAATGTTCTGTAATTAGTTACAAAACACATATCCTGCATTTTATGTTCAAAGCAAAGTAATTAATCTTGAAAAAGGCAATATCAGTAACAATACATACTGTAATGTGCGAGTCTCCTGAATTACCTTGACATTTCTGTCCACTGACATAATATCCTCGCTTGCAGCGACACGTCACAAACCCTTCCGCAGCCTCACACAGAGCAAATGTCATGCAGCTTGCCAAGTCATCATGACAATTCTTATAATCTGCAAACAAAAGCAACTTAATGCACCAAGTGTTCCACAACTCCAACTTAATCCACCAAGTGTTCCACAACTCCAACTTAATCCACCAAGTGTTCCACAACTCCAACTTAATCCACCAAGTGTTCCACAACTCCCCTACAGTGCAGCAAAGAATAGCCAAACGTTGCATCCACAAGCAACTATGTTAAGTCTGCCACAATTCATGCTACAATTAAATGTCTGTCTTAAATTGTCAGCTTGAGGGATAGTTTGTATTAGGAATTGTAATTAATGCTCACTTACAAAAGAACTTCAAGAGACATATGTTTTATGAATCAATCACAATAGTTCATCATATCCAATAGTTACACACTCCATCATTAAGTTGGAAACAGTACTTTCTACCTTCAGAGACACCCTTATTCTGTTGGAGATACTCCTCTATATGTTCAGAGAGACAATGTCCCTTGCAACAGAGTATTACAGACAAACCAATGATAAAAGTATTCATGTCCTTGTTGAGATTCAGACACACAGTGGGGCGGTGGGGTAGCCTAATGGTTAAAGCGTTGGCTCGTCACGCCGAAGACCCGGGTTCGAATCCCCACATGGGTACAATGTGTTAAGCCCATTTCTGGTGTCCCCCGCCGTGATGTTGCTGGAATATTGCTAAAAGCGGCGTAAAACCAAAACTCAGTCAGTCAGTCAGTCAGACACACAGTTCATATCTTTGTGCACAAAGTTTGCCAGACAAACCTACAATCATATAACTATGTAACAGAAAACAGTGTGCTTCAGACACCGTAAAAATACTGTGTCCTGGGATTCCAGACACTGATCGACTCCATGTGTCTATTTACAAGTCCAACATTAATGCGGAGCTTTGTCATCACCAATGTTACACAAAGCACATCTCACCAAGTATCTGGAGGCGGGAGACAAGCGACAATGTGCTGCTGTTGATGAAGAAGTTGGACAAGTCTGGGTGGTCCGAATACATGCGCACATGTCCTGAAACACCCAACAAACAAGGAATAAGTTTGTCTGGAAAGCTGATACTGACATTCATTTTGAATCAATTTGTGGAATATACACAATTGTCCAACACTTTGAGGGGAACATACAACAAGCATGCTGTTCTATATATAGTTTACATACTCTCTATATTAATATTGAAGATAGGATTATCATAAAGTGGCCCAACTCACGTATGAGAGTAGAAGAGGGTACACCGACATTCAGGACACTCTTCTGAGATGGTGGGATGAAACACACACACAACACTGCCAGAACTGACAGTGTCAGCAACAGGTAAGCAGGAAGTGACCTCTGACCCAGGGCAGCGGATGTGGTGGTGCAGGATATACATGATGTAAACATTGGTTGCTGAGCCGAGTCGTCATGGTGACCAGAACCATCCTCCCCGTCAGCCTCATCCTGCAGTAGAAGATGCAGCAGTTACTGGACCTACAAATCTCACACAAAGGCTACAGGCTACAGTGATGTACTTTTGAAGCACTGAGGATATGTCTCACACAAAGGTTACGTCGATGTACTTCTGAGGGACTGAGGATCTATATGTCTCACACAAAGGTTACAGCGATGTACTTCTGAAGGACTGAGGATCTATATGTCTCACACAAAGGTTACAGTGATGTACTGAGGTATTCAGGATCTATATGTCTCACACAAAGGTTACAGTGATGAACTTCTGAAGCACTGAGGATCTATATGTCTCACACAAAGCTTATGAGTGTCATGATGTGTACTACAGGTGTTATCTATGAGTGCCATGTGTACTAAAGGTGTTATCTATGAGTGTCATGTGTACTACAGGTGTTATCTATGAGTGTCGTGTGTACTACAGATGTTATCTATGAGTGTTATGATGTGTACTACAGGTGTTATGTATGAGTATCTTTATGTGTACTACAGGTGTTATCAATGAGTGTCATGTGATCTACAAGTGTTATCTATGAGCATCATGTGTTCTTAAGGTGTTATCTATGAGCATCATGTGTACTACAGGTGTTATCTATGAGTATCATGATGTGTACGACAGGTATTATCTATCAGCATCATGTGTACTAAAGGTGTTATCTACGAGTATCATGTTTACTACAGGTGTTATCTATGAGCGTCATGTGTGCTACAGGTGTTATCTATGAGTGTCATCTGTACTACAGATGTTATCTTTGAGTGTCATGTGTACTACAGGTGTTATCTATGAGTATCATGTGAACTACACGTGTTATATATGAGTATCTTTAGGTGTACTACAGGTGTTATCTATGAGTGTCATGTGTACTACAGGTGTTATCTATGAGTATCATGTGTACTACAGGTGTTATCTATGAGTATCATGTGTACTACAGGTGTTATCTATGAGTATCATGTGTACTACAGGTGTTATCTATGAGTATCATGTGTACTACAGGTGTTATCTATGAGTATCATGTGTACTACAGGTGTTATCTATGAGTATCATGTGTACTACAGGTGTTATCTATGAGTATCATGTGTACTACAGGTGTTATCTATGAGTATCATGTGTACTACAGGTGTTATCTATGAGTATCATGTGTACTACAGGTGTTATCTATGAGTATCATGTGTACTACAGGTGTTATCTATAAGTATCATGTGTACTACAGGTGTTATCTATGAGTATCATGTGTACTACAGGTGTTATCTATGAGTATCATGTGTACTACAGGTGTTATCTATGAGTATCATGTGTACTACAGGTATTATCTATAAGTATCATGTGTACTACAGGTGTTATCTATAAGTATCATGTGTACTACAGGTGTTATCTATGAGTATCATGTGTACTACAGGTGTTATCTATAAGTATCATGTGTACTACAGGTGTTATCTATGAGTACCATGTGTACTACAGGTGTTATGTATGAGTATCTTTATGTGTACTACAGGTGTTATCTATGAGTATCATGTGTACTACAGGTGTTATCTATAAGTATCATGTGTACTACAGGTGTTATCTATGAGTATCATGTGTACTACAGGTGTTATCTATGAGTATCATGTGTACTACAGGTGTTATCTATGAGTATCATGTGTACTACAGGTGTTATCTATAAGTATCATGTGTACTACAGGTGTTACCTATGAGTATCATGTATACTACAGGTGTTATCTATGAGTATCATGTGTAGTACAGGTGTTATCTATAAGTATCATGTGTACTACAGGTGTTATCTATGAGTATCATGTGTACTACAGGTGTTATCTATAAGTATCATGTGTACTACAGGTGTTATCTATGAGTATCATGTGTACTACAGGTGTTATCTATAAGTATCATGTGTACTACAGGTGTTATCTATGAGTATCATGTGTACTACAGGTGTTATCTATGGGTGTCATGTGTACTACAGGTGTTATCTATAAGTATCATGTGTACTACAGGTGTTATCTATAAGTATCATGTGTACTACAGGTGTTATCTATGAGTATCATGTGTACTACAGGTGTTATCTATGAGTATCATGTGTACTACAGGTGTTATCTATAAGTATCATGTGTACTACAGATGTTATCTATGAGTGTCATGTGTACTACAGGTGTTATGTATGAGTATCTTTATGTGTACTACAGGTGTTATCTATGAGTATCAAGTGTAATACAGGTGTTATCTATGAGTATCATGTGTACTACAGGTGTTATCTATAAGTATCATGTGTACTACAGGTGTTATCTATAAGTATCATGTGTACTACAGGTGTTATCTATGAGTGCCATATGTACTGCAGGTGTTATCTATGAGCATCATGTGTACTTCAGGTGTTATCTATGAGCGTCATGTGTACTACAGGTGTTATGTATGAGTATCTTTATGTGTACTACAGTTGTTGTTTTTTATGAGTATCTTTGTGTACTACAGGTGTTATCTATGAGTGTCATGTGTACTACAGGTGTTATCTATAAGTATCATGTGTACTACAGGTGTTATCTATAAGTACCATGTGTACTACAGGTGTTATCTATAAGTATCATGTGTACTACAGGTGTTATCTATGAGTATCATGTGTACTACAGGTGTTATCTATGAGTGTCATGTATACTACAGATGTTATCTATAAGTATCATGTGTACTACAGGTGTTATCTATGAGTATCATGTGTACTACAGGTGTTATCTATAAGTATCATGTGTACTACAGGTGTTATCTATGAGTATCATGTGTACTACAGGTGTTATCTATGTTAAGTATCATGTGTACTACAGGTGTTATCTATAAGTATCATGTGTACTACAGGTGTTATCTATGAGTATCATGTGTACTACAGGTGTTATCTATGAGTATCATGTGTACTACAGGTGTTATCTATGAGTGTCATGTGTACTACAGGTGTTATCTATAAGTATCATGTGTACTACAGGTGTTATCTATAAGTATCATGTGTACTACAGGTGTTATCTATGAGTATCATGTGTACTACAGGTGTTATCTATGAGTATCATGTGTACTACAGGTGTTATCTATAAGTACCATGTGTACTACAGATGTTATCTATGAGTGTCATGTGTACTACAGGTGTTATGTATGAGTATCTTTATGTGTACTACAGGCGTTATCTATGAGTATCATGTGTAATACAGGTGTTATCTATGAGTATCATGTGTACTACAGGTGTTATCTATAAGTATCATGTGTACTACAGGTGTTATCTATGAGTGCCATATGTACTGCAGCGGTTATCTATGAGCATCATGTGTACTTCAGGTGTTATCTATGAGCATCATGTGTACTTCAGGTGTTATCTATGAGCGTCATGTGTACTACAGGTGTTATGTATGAGTATCTTTATGTGTACTACAGTTGTTGTTTTTTATGAGTATCTTTGTGTACTACAGGTGTTATCTATGAGTGTCATGTGTACTACAGGTGTTATCTATAAGTATCATGTGTACTACAGGTGTTATCTATAAGTACCATGTGTACTACAGGTGTTATCTATGAGTATCATGTGTGTACACAGGTGTTATCTATGAGTATCATGTGTACTACAGGTGTTATCTATGAGTGTCATGTGTACTACAGGTGTTATCTATGAGTGTCATGTGTACTACAGGTGTTATCTATGAGTATCATGTGTACTACAGGTGTTATCTATGAGTATCATGTGTACTACAGGTGTTATCTATATGAGTATCATGTGTACTACAGGTGTTATCTATAAGTATCATGTGTACTACAGGTGTTATCTATAAGTATCATGTGTACTACAGGTGTTATCTATGAGTATCATGTGTACTACAGGTGTTATCTATGAGTATCATGTGTACTACAGGTGTTATCTATGAGTGTCATGTGTACTACAGGTGTTATCTATAAGTATCATGTGTACTACAGGTGTTATCTATAAGTATCATGTGTACTACAGGTGTTATCTATGAGTATCATGTGTACTACAGGTGTTATCTATGAGTATCATGTGTACTACAGGTGTTATCTATAAGTACCATGTGTACTACAGATGTTATCTATGAGTGTCATGTGTACTACAGGTGTTATGTATGAGTATCTTTATGTGTACTACAGGCGTTATCTATGAGTATCATGTGTAATACAGGTGTTATCTATGAGTATCATGTGTACTACAGGTGTTATCTATAAGTATCATGTGTACTACAGGTGTTATCTATGAGTGCCATATGTACTGCAGCGGTTATCTATGAGCATCATGTGTACTTCAGGTGTTATCTATGAGCGTCATGTGTACTACAGGTGTTATATATGAGTATCTTTATGTGTACTACAGTTGTTGTTTTTTATGAGTATCTTTGTGTACTACAGGTGTTATCTATGAGTGTCATGTGTACTACAGATGTTATCTTTGAGTGTCATGTGTACTACAGGTGTTATTTATAGATGTCATGTGTACTACAGGTGTTGTCTATGAGTATCATGTGTACTACAGGTGTTATCTATGAGTATCATGTGTACTACAGGTGTTATCTATGAGTGTCATGTATACTACAGATGTTATCTATAAGTATCATGTGTACTACAGGTGTTATCTATGAGTATCATGTGTACTACAGGTGTTATCTATAAGTATCATGTGTACTACAGGTGTTATCTATAAGTATCATGTGTACTACAGGTGTTATCTATAAGTATCATGTGTACTACAGGTGTTATCTATGAGTATCATGTGTAATACAGGTGTTATCTATGAGTGTCATGTATACTACAGATGTTATCTATAAGTATCATGTGTACTACAGGTGTTATCTATGAGTATCATGTGTACTACAGGTGTTATCTATAAGTATCATGTGTACTACAGGTGTTATCTATAAGTATCATGTGTACTACAGGTGTTATCTATAAGTATCATGTGTACTACAGGTGTTATCTATGAGTATCATGTGTAATACAGGTGTTATCTATGAGCGTCATGTGTACTACAGGTGTTATATATGAGTATCTTTATGTGTACTACAGGTTGTTGTTTTATGAGTATCTTTGTGTACCACAGGTGTTATCTATGAGCGTCATGTGTACTACAGGTGTTATCTATGAGTGTCATGTGTACTACAGGTGTTATCTATGAGTATCATGTGTACTACAGGTGTTATCTATGAGTGTCATGTATACTACAGGTGTTATATATGACTGTCATGTGTACTACAGGTGTTATCTATGAGTATCATGTGTGTACTTCATGTGTTATCTATGAGTATCATGTGTACTACAGGTGTTATCTATGAGTGTCATGTATACTACAGGTGTTATCTATGAGTGGCATGTGTACTACAGGTGTTATCTATGAGCATCATGTGTGTGTACTACAGGTGTAATATATGAGTATCATGTGTGCTTCATGTGTTATCTATGAGTATCTGTATGTGTACAACAGGTGTTATCCATGGAAATCACAATGCGGACTGAAGGTGTTATCTATGAGTGTCATGTGTACTACAGGTGTTATCTATGAGTGTCATGTGTACTACAGATGTTATCTATGAGTGTCATGTATACTACAGGTGTTATATATGACTGTCATGTGTACTACAGGTGTTATCTATGAGTATCATGTGTGCTTCATGTGTTATCTATGAGTATCATGTGTACTACAGGTGTTATCTATGAGTGTCATGTATACTACAGGTGTTACCTATGAGTGGCATGTATACTACAGATGTTATCTATAAGTATCATGTGTACTACAGGTGTTATCTATGAGTATCATGTGTACTACAGGTGTTATCTATAAGTATCATGTGTACTACAGGTGTTATCTATAAGTATCATGTGTACTACAGGTGTTATCTATAAGTATCATGTGTACTACAGGTGTTATCTATGAGTATCATGTGTAATACAGGTGTTATCTATGAGCGTCATGTGTACTACAGGTGTTATATATGAGTATCTTTATGTGTACTACAGTTGTTGTTTTTTATGAGTATCTTTGTGTACCACAGGTGTTATCTATGAGCGTCATGTGTACTACAGGTGTTATCTATGAGTATCATGTGTACTACAGGTGTTATCTATGAGTGTCATGTATACTACAGGTGTTATATATGACTGTCATGTGTACTACAGGTGTTATCTATGAGTATCATGTGTGCTTCATGTGTTATCTATGAGTATCATGTGTACTACAGGTGTTATCTATGAGTGTCATGTATACTACAGGTGTTACCTATGAGTGGCATGTGTACTACAGGTGTTATCTATGAGCATCATGTGTACTACAGGTGTAATATATGAGTATCATGTGTGCTTCATGTGTTATCTATGAGTATCTGTATGTGTACAACAGGTGTTATCCATGGAAATTAAAATGCGGACTGAAGGTGTTATCTATGAGTGTCATGTGTACTACAGGTGTTATCTATGAGTGTCATGTGTACTACAGATGTTATCTATGAGTGTCATGTATACTACAGGTGTTATATATGACTGTCATGTGTACTACAGGTGTTATCTATGAGTATCATGTGTGCTTCATGTGTTATCTATGAGTATCATGTGTACTACAGGTGTTATCTATGAGTATCATGTGTACTACAGGTGTTATCTATGAGTGTCATGTATACTACAGATGTTATCTATAAGTATCATGTGTACTACAGGTGTTATCTATGAGTATCATGTGTACTACAGGTGTTATCTATAAGTATCATGTGTACTACAGGTGTTATCTATAAGTATCATGTGTACTACAGGTGTTATCTATAAGTATCATGTGTACTACAGGTGTTATCTATAAGTATCATGTGTACTACAGGTGTTATCTATAAGTATCATGTGTACTACAGGTGTTATCTATGAGTATCATGTGTAATACAGGTGTTATCTATGAGCGTCATGTGTACTACAGGTGTTATATATGAGTATCTTTATGTGTACTACAGTTGTTGTTTTTTATGAGTATCTTTGTGTACCACAGGTGTTATCTATGAGTATCATGTGTACTACAGGTGTTATCTATGAGTGTCATGTGTACTACAGGTGTTATCTATGAGTGTCATGTGTACTACAGGTGTTATCTATGAGTATCATGTGTACTACAGGTGTTATCTATGAGTGTCATGTGTAATACAGGTGTTATCTATGAGCGTCATGTGTACTACAGGTGTTATATATGAGTATCTTTATGTGTACTACAGTTGTTGTTTTTTATGAGTATCTTTGTGTACCACAGGTGTTATCTATGAGCGTCATGTGTACTACAGGTGTTATCTATGAGTGTCATGTGTACTACAGGTGTTATCTATGAGTATCATGTGTACTACAGGTGTTATCTATGAGTGTCATGTATACTACAGGTGTTATATATGACTGTCATGTGTACTACAGGTGTTATCTATGAGTATCATGTGTGCTTCATGTGTTATCTATGAGTATCATGTGTACTACAGGTGTTATCTATGAGTGTCATGTATACTACAGGTGTTACCTATGAGTGGCATGTGTACTACAGGTGTTATCTATGAGTATCATGTGTACTACAGGTGTTATCTATGAGTGTCATGTATACTACAGGTGTTATATATGACTGTCATGTGTACTACAGGTGTTATCTATGAGTATCATGTGTGCTTCATGTGTTATCTATAAGTATCATGTGTACTACAGGTGTTATCTATGAGTGTCATGTATACTACAGGTGTTATCTATGAGTGTCATGTGTACTACAGGTGCTATCTATGAGTATCATGTGTACTACAGGTGTTATCTATGAGTATCATGTGTGCTTCATGTGTTATCTATAAGTATCATGTGTACTACAGGTGTTATCTATGAGCGTCATGTGTACTACAGGTGTTATCTATGAGTATCATGTGTACTACAGGTGTTATCTATGAGTGTCATGTATACTACAGGTGTTATATATGACTGTCATGTGTACTACAGGTGTTATCTATGAGTATCATGTGTGCTTCATGTGTTATCTATAAGTATCATGTGTACTACAGGTGTTATCTATGAGTGTCATGTATACTACAGGTGTTACCTATGAGTGGCATGTGTACTACAGGTGTTATCTATGAGCATCATGTGTACTACAGGTGTAATATATGAGTATCATGTGTGCTTCATGTGTTATCTATGAGTATCTGTATGTGTACAACAGGTGTTATCCATGGAAATCACAATGCGGACTGAAGGTGTTATCTATGAGTGTCATGTGTACTACAGGTGTTATCTATGAGTGTCATGTGTACTACAGATGTTATCTATGAGTGTCATGTATACTACAGGTGTTATATATGACTGTCATGTGTACTACAGGTGTTATCTATGAGTATCATGTGTGCTTCATGTGTTATCTATGAGTATCATGTGTACTACAGGTGTTATCTATGAGTGTCATGTATACTACAGGTGTTACCTATGAGTGGCATGTGTACTACAGGTGTTATCTATGAGCATCATGTGTACTACAGGTGTAATATATGAGTATCATGTGTGCTTCATGTGTTATCTATGAGTATCTGTATGTGTACAACAGGTGTTATCCATGGAAATCACAATGCGGACTGAAGGTGTTATCTATGAGTGTCATGTATACTACAGGTGTTATCTATGAGTGTCATGTGTACTACAGATGTTATCTATGAGTGTCATGTATACTACAGGTGTTATATATGACTGTCATGTGTACTACAGGTGTTATCTATGAGTATCATGTGTGCTTCATGTGTTATCTATGAGTATCATGTGTACTACAGGTGTTATCTATGAGTGTCATGTATACTACAGGTGTTACCTATGAGTGGCATGTGTACTACAGGTGTTATCTATGAGCATCATGTGTACTACAGGTGTAATATATGAGTATCATGTGTGCTTCATGTGTTATCTATGAGTATCATGTGTACTACAGGTGTTATCTATGAGTGTCATGTATACTACAGGTGTTACCTATGAGTGGCATGTGTACTACAGGTGTTATCTATGAGCATCATGTGTACTACAGGTGTAATATATGAGTATCATGTGTGCTTCATGTGTTATCTATGAGTATCTTTATGTGTACAACAGGTGTTATCCATGGAAATCACAATGCGGACTGAAGGTGTTATCGATGAGAGTCATGATGAGTAATGCAGGTGAACTGTCTGCAGTAATTGCTAAGCACATTGAATATATCTTACAAGCATTTCTACCCATCTACCATGCAGTTCTACCCACCTACCATGCTGTTCTAACCATTTACCAAGCAGTTGTATCCATTTACCAAGCAATTCTACCCATCTACCATGCAGTTCTACCTATTTACTGTGGAAATGTACCTATCTACCAAGCAGTTCTACGCATCTACCAAGCAGTTCTACCCATCTACCCAGCACCCACAATGAATGGCAGGTTGTCCCACACCGCTTGCAATGATGAAGGTGGTGAGGAGGCAGCCACATGCAATGCTTGTCTGTCGCCACAGGGCCTGTGGGCCACCTCATTATGTGTTGGTTCCTAGGACAGAGTGAGGCTGCAGCTGTATTGGTGCTAATGTCAAGGCTTTAAGCAAACAAGAAAACACAGAGAAAACCACTCACAGAAAAAGAAAAAGTCACAATAACACAACAAACTTGAGCCACAGTAAGGCATTATTTCCAAACCACACACCAATGCATGTTTCTGTATCTGGCAAGAGTTAATGTTTTCTTGTCCTACACTACTGCACGTTACTATGTGATACACTACAGCATGTTACTATGTGATACACTACTGCATGTACTGTGTGATACACTACTGCATGTACTGTGTGATACACTACAGCATGTTACTATGTGATACACTACTGCATCTTACTATGTGATACACTACTGCATGTTACTATGTGATACACTACTGCATGTTACTATGTGATACACTACTGCATGTTACTGTGTGATACACTACTGCATGTTACTGTGTGATACACTACTGCATGTTACTATGTGATACACTACTGCATGTTACTATGTGATACACTACTGCATGTTACTACGATTGATACACTACTGCATGTTACTATGTGATACACTACTGCATGTTACTATGTGATACACTACTGCATGTTACTATGTGATACACTACTGCATGTTACTATGTGATACACTACTGCACGTTACTATGTGATACACTACTGAATGTAACTATATGTTACTATGTGATACACTACTGCACGTTACTATGTGATACACTACTGCATGTTACTATATGATACACTACTGAATGTTACTATGTGATACACTACTGCTTGTACTATGTGATACACTACTGCATGTTACTATATGTTACTATGTGATACACTACTGCACGTTACTATGTGATACACTACTGCATGTTACTACATTGTACTATGATACACTTACTGATGTTACTATGTGATACACTACTGCATGTTACTACATGTGATACACTACTGCATGTTACTACGTGATACACTACTGCATGTTACTATGTGATACACTACTGCGTGTACTATGTGATACACTACTGCATGTTACTATGTGATACACTACTGCATCTTACTATGTGATACACTACTGCATGTTACTATGTGATACACTACTGCATGTTACTATGTGATACACTACTGCTTGTACTATGTGATACACTTCTGCATGTTACTATGTGATACACTACTGCACGTTACTATGTGATACACTACTGCATGTTACTATGTGATACACTACTGCATGTTACTGTGTGATACACTACTGCTTGTACTATGTGATACACTTCTGCATGTTACTATGTGATACACTACTGCTTGTAGTATGTGATACATTACTGCACGTTACTGTGTGATACACTACTACATGTTACTGTGTGATACACTACTGCATCTTACAATGTCCTACACTATAGTCTGTTTGCAGTGAAAACGTACCGATGAATTTCACTTTAAACAAAAAAGTAAATCAAATTAAGTGAAATTAAGATTGCGAATCTTTATAATTCTACCTTGCCAAATGAACATTTAAATCTCAGAATTTTATTCAACTTAGGATAAAAGTTGTTTAACAAACGATCATAGATTCAAATCGCTATTATTGGTTTGTATTACAAGGTGGTAAGCGCAGTAGATGGAACAGTGAAACAAATGCACACGTGCGGTACGTGATGAGCGTTAACTTAAACCAACCCTACTTGTTCTAGGTGTATCATCTAATGTGCATACCCCCTTGTAATACAAACCAATAATAGCGATTTGAAACTATGATCATTTGTTAAACAACTTTTATCCTAAGTTGAATAAAACTATGAGATGGTAAAATTATGAGGATAATCTTAATTTTGCTTTAATCGATTTACTTTTTTGTTTAGAGTGAAATTCATTGGTACGTGTTCACTGCAACCAGACTATAGTGTATGTTATCATGTGCTACACTACTGCATGTTACTATGTCATACACTAATACATGTTACCATGTCCTACATCGCTTCATGTTAAAATGTGCTACACTAGTGTATGTGTCTTTGATTTACAAGCGGGATGTGCTTCCATGCCCCGTTATACACACAGTACAATCCATGAGTGAATGAAAAGCCTCAAAGCCTGGACTTGTACATACAACAGCTGACAAATGTTCTGAGAGATTCAAAACTCAACCTGTGCATGTTACCAATGCACTTTACTGACAGCCTGATGTCTGTTGGTGATGACTCACCTGTTCCTGTGCTGCTGTAGCCTGTGTCATGCTGTGGGGGTGCTCCTGTGGGGAGGGCACAGGGCTGTGGAGGACTGAGGCATGCCCTGCACAGCTACTGGAAGAACCAATCTGAAATACAAAGCAAACATCAGATCCAGCTGAACAGCTTACCTCCAGCTCATCTACATGGTCTGAACATTTCATCCAGTGATTATCTGAACTCCAGCGTTTTGTGATGTACAACAGTGATAGGCAAGCATACCACTGAGAGATGTGATGACAAAGAGAGGGCTGAGACAACAGTGTGTCTGATCTGGAGACATCAGGAGACCTCTGCAAGAAAACCATGCTTGTGTAAGCAACATAGTTTCTAATGTTTAGACAGACCTGACCATGTGTTGAAGAAAGATGTCAGTCTCAACAGCCACTGACTCCACAAAGAGCCACTGAGTGGGGAGCCTTGAAAATATAACAACCATTTAATAACACGGTGACAAGCAATATTCCACTCTCCTCCCCCTCGCAGATTACCTTGCACAAAGGGCAGCCAGAGATAGGAGAAGAAGTATTTATAGTCTTTTGATACAGTCATGGTTGGATAGATATGTAGTACAAGCGCTCTTACTACACAAAGATAGCATGGAAGGGTAGCTTTGGGCTGACTGACTGTCATGTAGCAGAAGTCTGGGTGCCATGTAGCAGAGGTCTGGGTGTCAGGTGACAGAAGTCTGGGGGTCAGGTGACAGAAGTCTGGGTGTCAGGTGACAGAAGTCTGGGGGTCAGGTGACAGAGGTGTCAGGTGACAGAGGTCTGGGTGTCAGGTGACAGAGGTCTGGGTGTTAGGTGACAGAGGCCTGGGTGTCACGTGACAGATTCTGGGTGTCAGGTGACAGAAGTCTGGATGTCAGGTGACAGAGGTCTGGGTGTTAGGTGACAGAGGCCTGGGTGTCACGTGACAGATTCTGGGTGTCAGGTGACAGAAGTCTGGATGTCAGGTGACAGAGGTCTGGGTGTCAAGTGACAGATTCTGGGTGTCAGGTGACAGAGGTCTGGGTGTCAGGAGACAGATTCTGGGTGTCAGGTGACAGAGGTCTGAGTGTCACGTGACAGAGGTGTCAGGTGACAGTGGTCTGGGTGTCAGGTGACAGAGGTGTCAGGTGACAGAGGTCTGGGTGTCAGGTGACAGAGGTCTGAGTGTCAGGTGACAGAGGTCTGGGTGTTAGGTGACAGGGGTCTGGGTGTCAAGTGACAGATTCTGGGTGTCAGGTGACAGAAGACTGGGTGTCAGGTCACAGTGGTCTGGGTGTCAGGTGACAGAGGTCTGGGTGTCAAGTGACAGATTCTGGGTGTCAGGTGACAGAAGACTGGGTGTCAAGTGACAGGTCTGGGTGTCAAGTGACAGATTCTGGGTGTTGGGTAACACTGGTTTTGGTATAAGGTCACAGTGGCTTCGATGTTACGTAAAAGATGTCTGCTATGACTTGTCTTAAACACTCTGTCCCTATCTGTCATATGTTTTCTGTTTGCTTCATTTGACTGCTCCCATTTTCAAATCAGGGACTGACTGCAGCGTAATACCCTGTCTCTGGTTCCATTGGTTAAAGCCAGCTCCACTGGCATGATTAGAATCCAAAGAGTCCCCAGATGCAGTTCAGCAAGATGGGTGATGTATCACCTCTCATCAGCTGATCAAGTCATAACAATTCTGCCAATGTCTCTGGTGGCACAGATACAAAATCATATTGACTTTTTCACTTTTGCTGAATGGCTGCTTTCACAATGCCACCAGAGATGCAATATGAACTAAATGTTGTTCCAATGTATGAGTTGACTGTCGTGTTGTTCCAATGTATGAGTTGTCTCGTGTTGTTTTAATGTACGAGTTGACTGTCGTGTTGTTCCAATGTATTAGTTGACTGTCGTGTTGTTCCAATGTATTAGTTGACTGTCGTGTTGTTCCAATGTATGAGTTGACTGTCGTGTTGTTCCAATGTATGAGTTGACTGTCGTGTTGTTCCAATGTATTAGTTGACTGTCGTGTTGTTCCAATGTATGAGTTGACTGTCGTGTTGTTCCAATGTAGTAGTTGACTGTCGTGTTGTTCCAATGTAGTAGTTGACTGTCGTGTTGTTCCAATGTAGTAGTTGACTGTCGTGTTGTTCCAATGTAGTAGTTGACTGTCGTGTTGTTCCAATGTAGTAGTTGACTGTCGTGTTGTTCCAATGTATTAGTTGACAATGGACATGCTTGTAATAAACTATAGTAATACTGAAATCAGTGATCATTTCACTTCGTTTTAACTGTTACATACTGTAGATAGCCGTTGTAAACTGCAAAAACTGGGTGCAGGCTAAATCTGAAGCACAACTGTTTTCATCAAAGTCTCTTCATCCTGTTTTGTCACAATTCAGAATCAACCCACATCCTTTCTTAATCCTCTCAGACAGTTTGCTTTCTGGATCTGAGAGATGAAAGCAGTTGCTGATGAAGAGCTGACAATTAGACTGGGCTTTCAAGACATTTTTATTCCCGCCACATGCTGAAGCTAGCAAAGACAACATGCTCCATGAAGGGAGGCAGGTAGCACTGACTGGCAGATTAAGAAGCGGTTTTAGACATTTCCAATTGGAGCATGAGATGACGACATACAACTAGTATCATACCATCGTGGTCACTGCAACAGGCTCTATTACCTCAAGACCTAGAAACCATCCTCGATAATCTCCAGAGTATACCTTACGATCACTCTCCACTATACCCTGGATGCATCCACAGCTTTGCCCGATGATTTTATTACCTCCCTTGGCTGGCTTTTTATCCAATCAGGTGTCTACGCCGGGAAGTTGAGCGAACCAATCACAACTCACTTTTGCTTCTTAAATTATCTAAACGTTTAAACTTGGCAACACAATTGATGCAGAGGTACTCTGAAAGATGTAGAAGGAGTTCTTTTATATATTTTTTTTAAAGTTTCAGATCTGTCAATTTGTCTGTATTATTTCCCCCCCAAAATGAGTGGTACTGCCAACAAACCTTCACGACTGCGACCGCTATCTTTGTCAACACTGGCCAACTCGGATGTAACGGCAGCTTAGCTGATAACACAATGAAACAATGTGGACCCACACACATGGAGCACCACAACACAAGGAACACTGTGGACCCACACACATAAAGGACCATAACACAAGGATCACTGTGGACCCACACACATAGAGGACCATAACACAAGGAACACTGTGGACTCACACACATAGAGGACCATAACACAAGGAACACTGTGGACTCACTCACACGGAGGACCATAAGACAAGGAACACTGTGGACTCACACACATAGAGGACCATAACACAAGGATCACTGTGGACTCACACACACGGAGGACCATAACACAAGGAACACTGTGGACTCACACACATAGAGGACCATAACACAAGGATCACTGTGGACTCACACACACGGAGGACCATAACACAAGGAACACTGTGGACTCACACACATGGAGGACCATAACACAAGGATCACTGTGGACTCACTCACACGGAGGACCCTAACACAAAGAACACTGTGGACCCACACACATAAAGGACCATAACACAAGGATCACTGTGGACCCACACACATAGAGGACCATAACACAAGGAACACTGTGGACTCACACACATAGAGGACCATAACACAAGGATCACTGTGGACTCACTCACACGGAGAACCATAAGACAAGGAACACTGTGGACTCACACACATGGAGGACCAAAACATAAGGATCACTGTGGACTCATTCACACGGAGAACCATAAGACAAGGAACACTGTGGACTCACACACATGGAGGACCATAACACAAGGATCACTGTGGACTCACTCACACGGAGGACCCTAACACAAAGAACACTGTGGACTCACACGGATAGAGGACCAAAATATAAGGATCACTGTGGACTCACACACATAGAGGACTAAAACATAAGGGTAACACAAGGATCACTGTGGACCCACACACATGGAGGACCATAACACAAGGAACACTGTGGACTCCCTCACACGGAGGACCATAAGACAAGGAACACTGTGGACTCACACACATAGAGGACCAAAACATAAGGATCACTGTGGACTCACACACATAGAGCACCAAACCATAAGGATCACTGTGGACACACACACATGGAGGACCACAACATAAGGATCACTGTGGACCCACACACATGGAGGACCATAACACAAGGATCACTGTGGACTCACACACATAGAGGACCAAAACATAAGGATCACTGTGGACTCACACATGGAGGACCAAAACATAAGGATCACTGTGGACTCACACACATAGAGGACCAAAACATAAGGATCACTGCGGACTCACACATGGAGGACCATAACATAAGGAACACTGTGGACCCACACACATAGAGGACCATAACACAAGGATCACTGTGGACTCACACACATAGAGGACCATAACACAAGGATCACTGTGGACTCACTCAAATAGAGGACCATAACACAAGGATCACTGTGGAGCCACACACATGGTGGACCATAACACAAGGAACCCTGTGGACCCACACACATGGAGGACCATAACACAAGGATCACTGTGGACCCACACACATAGAGGACCATAACACAAGGATCACTGTGGACTCACTCACATAGAGGACCATAACACAAGGATCACTGTGGACTCACTCACACGGAGGACCATAAGACAAGGAAAACTGTGGACCCACACACATGGTGGACCATAACACAAGGAACACTGTGGACCCACACACATGGAGGACCATAACACAAAGATCACTGTGGACCCACAAACATGGAGGTCCATAACAAGGAACACTGTGGACTCACAAACATGGAGGACCATAACACAAGGATCACTGTGGACTCACTCACACGGAGGACCATAAGACAAGGAAAACTGTGGACCCACACACATGGTGGACCATAACACAAGGAACACTGTGGACCCACACACATGGAGGACCATAACACAAGGATCACTGTGGATCCACACACATGGAGGACCAAAACACAAGGATCACTGTGGACCCACACACATGGAAGATCCTAACATAAGGATCACTGTGGACCCACACAGATAGAGGACCATAACACAAGGATCAC